CCCCGACGTTATGATTTGTACCGGGAAGGGCTTTGGCCCAGGGTTCTCTATCAGCTGGTTAGCCAAGTTCGAAGAGGACCAGCGAATTTCTTTTGCGATAAATGTAGATCGAAGAGGGCGGGCGAATTGAAAAGTTGAGGGTGTCCCGAGCAATGCTTGTTTTGCAGAACTGGTTGAGGATGTCTCGAGCGAAACGCTTGTTTTGTGTTATGGCTTGTCCTCTCCTGGAGACCAGAAGTCAGAGGATCTCTCAAGTGAATTGTTGTTTTCATGTGCCCAGGTCTTGAGGATATCTCGAGCTAGACGCTTGGTTTCACGCCTCTAGGTTGCCCAGGCAAGGGTCTAGCACCAGGATTTGTTGAGTATGTCTCGAGCGAGTCTGCCTGGCACTCGCGCGGCGCGTCCCCCGGTCTCGTCTCATGGCGCGTCCCATGGCACGTTCCGTAGCGCGTCCCCTTGGCACGTCCCGCGGTGCGTTCCCATGGTACGTCCCCTGGCACGCCGCGTGGCGCGTCCCTTGGGACGTTCCGCGGCGCGTCCTCCTGGCTTGTCCCCCTGGCATTTAGCTCTGGGACAGCTACTATGTGCTCAGGCAGCTCGAGCTTACGATCCAGATCAGTTCGTTCAGGACTCGGATGCAAAGGAGGACTCGATCCACAACGCTAGATATAGAGCACACTCGCGACATGGCGCGTCGCAAGTCAGCACGGCGCAGCACAGCACAGCCCTCGGCACGGTACACCAAGATCGATGCATTCAGCATTTCAATCTGGCACGTTCCGTGGCGCGTTCCGTGGCGCGTTCCGTGGCGGGTCCCCCTGGCACGTTCCGTAGCGCGTCCCCTGGCTCGTCCCGTGGCACGTCCATTGGCACGTCCCGTAGCGCGTCCCCTTGGCACATCCCGCGGTGCGTCCCCATGGAACGCCCCCTTGGCACGTCGCCTGGCGCGCCCCTTGGGATGTTCCGCGGCGCGTCCTCCTGGCATGTCCCCCTGTCAATTAGCTCTGGGGCAGCTACTATGTGATCAGGCAGCTCGAGCTTAAGATGCAGATCAGTTCTGTCAGGACTCGGATGCAAATGAGGACTCGATCCACAACGCTATAGAACACACTCGCGACATGGCACATCGCAATTCAGCACGGTGCAGCACAGCACAGCACAGCATTTGGGACGGTACATGAAGATCGATAAATTCAGCATGGTGTTTGCCTGTCGCCCCATCAGGTGTATTTGAAAATGATGCCATGCCTTACATTTCTATATTCCTTTCCGGGCTCGTGGGTCGATCATGTTCCCGGAGAGGGCGTGGGCCCAGGGTTCTCGTTTAGCCGTTTACCCCCGGAGTCGACGGGAAGCGGGTTGGCGGAAATATTTGTGGTAAATACCGAGGCGGGAAAGAGGCCGGCGGAATTAATGGTGAGGATGCCCCGAGCGGAACGCTAGTTTTTTTCCAGAATGTGTTGTGGATGGTTCGAGCGAGCCGCTTGTTTTCTGTTATCGATTGTTCCCTTCCTGGGGGCCGCAATTCAGAGGATGTCAGAGGTGAAATACTTGTTTTACGTATGTTATGTATTGGGAGATGTACTCGGGGAGCGCGTTTCGCTTCCCCCCGCCTCCCAGGACGCCCCAGGAGGCTCGAGAAGCGTGAAAACAAATGCCCAGGGCGGGAGAAGCGTGAGAACATTTGAGTTCCTAGCGCCCCAGGGCGGGACACAACTGAAAACACATGGGTTCCGAACGCCCCAGGGCGGGAGAAGCGTGAAAACACATAATTAGGTTCCTAACGCCCCAGGAGGCCCCAGGAGGCTTCAGGAGGCACCAAGAGGCCCAATGAGGTATTGTTCTGGAATGGGGTCTGTGTTCGGGGCGCGCTTTTCGCTCCCCCCCCCCCTCGCCCCCAGGATGTCCCAGGAGGCCCTTTTCTGTATTGGGAGATGTGTTCGGGGAGCGCGTTTCGCCTCCCCCTGCCCGCCAGGAGGCCCCAGAAGGCCAGAAAAGCATGCCAACACTCAGGTTCCTAACGCTCCAGAGCGGGACAAGCGTGAAAACACGTGGTTCCTGACGCCCCAGATCAGGGGAAGCGCGAAAACACATGGGTTCCTAGCACCCTAGGGCGGGACACACGTGAAAGCACATGGGTTCCATAGCGCGTCCCCTTGGCACGTCCCGCGGTGCGTCCCAATGGCACGTCCCCCGGTGCGTCCCCCCTTGGCACGTCGCCTGGCGCGTCCCTTGGGAAGTTCCGCGGCGCGTCCTCCTGGCATGTCCTCCTGTCAATCCACAACGCCATAGAGCACAATCGCTGCATGGCACATCGCAATTCAGCACGGCACAGCCCTCGGCACAGTACATCAAGATCGATACACTCAGCATTGCATTTGCCTGTCGTTCAATCAGGTAGTCTTTGAAAACTCTGGCGTGCCTTACATTTCTATTTAATCGCTTCGCTCATTCCGCTGGCCCATTTTCGCGCACCGGGAGGCAGTGCACAGAAAGCTCTTGGAAGTTCTCCGACGCTTTCGGGGACGTCTTAACTTGGAGCCTGCTTGGGGGCTCTTGGCGGCCTCCTGACCGCCTGTTGCGGGCCTCTTGGGGCCAGGGACCTCTGGGGACCACCTGCGGGCTGTTTATGTTGGAGGGTGAAAGAGGGGGTCTGCAACAGGGGGTATTCAATGGGGCTGAATGGCCCATGTATGTTCATGGTATCGCTCACGTCCGTGGTCGGGTACGATTGGCATCCAATGTTGGCGTCCATGAGGGCCAGTCGTTCGTGCCCGCGCGTTGCCCGCGCGGGCAAACGCGCCGTCCATCCATTATCGTTCATGCGTGCGGGCGTTCTTGCATATTGCGCGTGTGGCAGCGAAGTGGAGTGCAAGTGTGTCTTGATTGTGCGAATGGTGACTGCGTGTGTTCCCAAACGATGACTTGTCGACCCCCAAGACAGATTTTGAATGGGTCCCGCGATTCTGCCAAAATGTGAATTCAAATTTTCATTTTTTCCGAAATGTGAATTCACATCTTCCTTTTTCCCAAAACGTCAATTCACATTGTAGCCCCTTCATAGAGATTCCTACACAACAGTCCAACATGGGAGTTCACATTTTCCTTTTTTCCACATTGCGAATTCACATTTTCCTGTTTCTTCCCAAACTGTGAATTCACATTCTGCTTTTCCTGACAGTGTGAATTCACAATTTCGTTTGGCCTTCCAAATTTTTCAAAACTGAAGCGCAGCGTTCCGCGTGTCAGATTGGCTGGGCTGATTTTGGCACTCACCTCACCGCCTTCGTTCATTCCAACTTTTATCTTGCGCCTTCAGCGCACGTTGCCTTCGTCGCCTTTTCCCGAGCCCCCCGCCCCCTTGCTTCGTTTACCCTCAAGTTTCGCGCATGGGTGCAGGCGGGGAGCTTCAACTGGTTCCCCCGCCGAACGCGGCAAGCGAGGACGCATCGCCCATGCATGGCCCATAAAGACACCATTACCGGGACTCTGCGCCCGACCTCCATTTTCGCCCTCCAATTACGGCCGAGGGCCCGACATTTTGTTACGCGTTCCCCCTCTGGGGCCTCTCTTGGGGCCTTCTTGGGCCGTTTTGGAGTCGTCTTGGGCGGCCCTGCAGCCCTCTTGGGCCGTCTTGGGGTTTTCTTGTGGCCCTCTTGGACCCTCTGGGGACGATCTTGGGCCCTCTTGGCGCCCTCTTGGACCCTCTGGGGAAGATCTTGGGGCTCTCGTGGGGCCGTCTTGGACCCTCTGGGGCCCTCTTGGACCCTCAGGGGCCCTCTTGGACCCTCTGGGAAACGCCCACATCTGCCCAAAACCTTACCGAAAACAGTGAATCGTACCTCTTGGGGCCCTCTTGGGAGTGTTTTTGGAAGCCTCTTGGGGCGTCAGAGGGCAGTCTTGGGCATCTTGGAGCGATCTTGTGGCATCTCGGAGCCCTCCTATTTTATCGTGGAGCCTCTTGAGGGCCTCTTGGCCCTTCTTGGGTTTTCTGGAGGGCCTGGACGGCGGCACGCCCGACCCGACCGGACGGGGGATCTCTGACCCGAACCGGCCTGGGATCGCCCGGGGTATGTTTCGCTTGGGGACCCCCAGGGGCCGCTCCGCGCGCGCGAAGTAGAAATAGTGTAAGCAGGTACCGGGGATCTCAGCACGCCTTTACCTTCTATAGAACCTTCGCGGGAGTGCTTTTGGAGCCTCTCGGGGCGTCCAGGGAACCTGGGGGCTCCTTACGGCCGAGGGCTCGACATGCGGTTTCGTGTTCTCCCCCTGGGGCCTCTCGTGGAGCGTTCTTGGGGCCGCCTGGGCCCGTCTTGGAGTCGTCTCGGGCGGTCCTGGAGCCCTCTTGGGCCGTCTTGGGGCTCTCTGGAAGCCTTGTTGGCCCCTCATGGTGCGATCTGGGGGACCTCTTGGGCCGTCTGGAGGCGTCGGGAACCGAACAAGGGGAAACGCCCAAGTTTGCCAAAAACCTTAGGAACATTACTAAATTTCACCTCTTGGACACTCTGGGGAATGCTTTTGGAGCCTCTTGGGGCGTCTGGGGGCAATCCCGGGAATCTTTGAGCGATCTTGCGGCATGCCGGAGCTCTCTTGTTTTATCTATGAAGCCTCTTGGGGGCCTCTTGGCCGTACTGGGGGCTCTCTGGAGGGCATCGAGAGCGGTGCCCAGGAGATCGAGGGTCTTTGACCCGAACCGGCCAGCGAGCTCCGCGCGCGCGAAGTAGAAATAGTGTAAGCAGGCACTGGAGATCTTAGCACGCCTCTGGTCTGGTGGGCCGGCTAATATTCCTTTCGGGGTTCGTGGGTCGATCATCTTGCTCATAACGTCCACCCTCTCAGGTTTCGACCTGTTCCCCGGAACCGGTTCGTCATTCCGAGTAGTTTTTTGACGGCCCCGAGGCCCAGGAAGGGCCCCCATCCGGAAATAGCAAAATTCTTGCCGTCTTGATTTTCTCATGATCTCAGGGGGTCTGGGACGACCACGACCACAGCCACGAAAGGCGGCGGCGCAGGAGGGGCGGGTGCCGCCAGAGCGGGCGCCCGGCACGGCTACCTGCTCGTGGTTGACAGCCTGGAGGTCTCGGGCCTGGAGGAGCTCTTGGGCCATGGCCTCGGCAAGGGTGGTTTGGGCGGCGCGCCCACTGGGGCAGCGCGAGGGGGGGCGGCCTTCTTAGAAGGCGAGGGAACTTCTAAGAAGGCAGGGGCCTTCTTAGGGGCCCTCCCGGCTTTTACGAGACCTGCTTAGAAGCCTCCGGGCCCTACACAGAGACCCTTGCCTTTTGAGAAGCGCGCCGCTTTCTTAGAAGGCCACCCCCCTCGCGCAACCCCCTTGTGCGCGCCGCTAAAAGTTGGATTTCCGTTTGGGGGTCCTTTTTGGTGGGGTAGGATGATTGGGAGAGATGAGATCAGGAGGATAAGCATCGATATCAATACAAGCTTTTGGCGGTATCCCGGCCTCGGGATGCTCTCCAGCAGCTGCGCCTCGCTGGGAGCGTTCCATGGTGTACCCGGATCGTCCCGAACGGCCGCCGAAGATTTTAGTAATGGCCTGGACACCTGGGGGCACTGTTCGAGTAGGAGGTCCACAACATAATTCATGTACCGCAGAATTTCTCTGTCGAGTTTAACAAATTGTAGGAGATTTACGAACGTTTGCACATATCCGAAAGGGCATCGCCCCCTGCCGCCAGCCCCCTCTCTATCGGAACGGGATATCAGAGCTCTGCGCTGCCTTGCCGCATCCGGGAACATCATGCGGGGGCGTATAGGAATCATCCGCGCATATTGAGACGTTGGCGTTATCCAAGACGCCTACGGCGGATAACCGCCGCCCCCTGCCTTTTTGGAAGCGCCTGCGCGGCCGAAAGTTGGGTTTGAGCTTGGCCAAGCTATCGGGCCACGCGTTCCCCGAGTGGGTTTCGAAAGCCTTCGGGGAACACCGAGTCGGGCGAGCTATCGGACCAGGTGGTTTCCGAGCTTTCGGCCCTCCTGGAGGATGTCTTGGAGGGGTCTTGGGCCGTCTTGGAGGCCTTTGGCGGGCCGTTTGGGCAACCTTAGGCCATCTTCAAGCCATATTGGGCCGTCTTGGGTGCATCTTCGGCCCATCTTGGCCGTCTTGGAGGCCATCTTGGTCGTCTTGGAGGCATCTTCGAGGCCATCTTGGCAGTCTTGGAGGCCAACTGGAGCTTCTTGGGGGCCTCTTGGGCCGTCTTGGGGCCGTCTTGGGGGGCCTCTTTGGCCGTCCTGGGGCCGTCTTGGAGGCTTCTTAGGGCGATCTTGATGGCCTCTTGGGCCGTCTCGGGCCGTCGGAAGGCCGAAAAGAAACACAAGACACCATCCTCCAACAACCCAAGGAAAATCAGTGAGTTTGGCCTCTTCGGACCGTCCTTGAGGACGTCTTGGAGGGCTACTGGGCAGTCTTGGAGGCTTCTTGCGGGCCTTTTGGGCAGTCTTAGGCCATCTTCAGGCCAGCTTGGGCCGTCTTGTGTGCATCTTCAGCCCATATTGGCCGTCTTGGAGGCCATCGTGGCCGTCTTTGAGGCATTTTGGGGGCCATCTTGGCAGTCTTGGAGACCATTTTGGGCGTCTTGGGGGCCTCTTGGGCCGTCTTGGGGCCTTCTTGGAGCCCTCTTGGGGGCCTCTCGGGTTGTCATGAGGCCATCTTGGAGGCCTCTTGGGCGCTCTTGGGGCGATGTTGGGGGGCGCTTGGGCCGTCTTGGGCCGTTGGAGAGCTGAAAAGCGGCAACAGCCAAAATCACTGAAACATCTCTAAGTGCAATCAATGATTTTAACCTTGTCGGGCCTTCCTGGAGGACGTCTTGGAGGGGTCTTGGGTTGGAAGCCTCTTGCGAGCCTTTTGGGCAGTCTTAGGCCGTCTTCAGGCCATCTTGGGCCGCCTTGGGTGCATCTTGAGGCCATCTTGGCCGTCTTGGATGCATCTTGGCGGCCATCTTGGCAGTCTTGGAGGCCATCTGGGGTTTCTTGGGGGGCCTCTTGGGCCGTCTGGGGGCCTTTTTGGGGCCCTCTTGGGGGACTCTTGGGCCGTCTTTTGGGCCGTCTTGGAGGCTTCTTGGGCACTCTTGGAGCGATTTTGATAGCCTCTTGGGCCGTCTTGGGTCGTCGGAAGGCCGAAAAGGAGCAAAAGCCAACATCCTGCAAAAACCTAAGAACAATCAATGATTTCGGCCTCTTCGGGCCGTCTTTGAGGACCCTGGAGGACCTCTTCGAGGCCTCTTGGGCCGTCTTGGAGGCATCTTGGAGGCCTTTGGGGCCGCCTTGGGCCGTCTTAGGTATTTCTTGTGCGAACTTGGAGGCGTCCTGGACTTTCTTGGGCCGTCTTCGAGGCCATCTGAGACCATCTCGGGCAAAATTGGAAGCCATCTTGGGCCATCTTGGAGCCGTCTTGGAGCCGTCTGGAGCCGAAAAACCCTTCGCAGCCACCTGTTACGCGCCCTTCCGGGTGGCCAGCGGGATCGGCCGAAGCCCCAGAGGGAGTTTTTTGGGAAAAAGAACCAACATCGAAAGCCGAAGGATTCAGCACGCCGGGCACCCCTGTGATGAATCAACAGGGGGCGGCGGATCCGAGTGGCCCTCGGCCCATCACGCCACTGTGCCTGGGTTGTGGGTCTGAGGCCTCTTCTATATGTGCTGGGGTCTCGTGCGGAGCCTCTTGGGGACTTCTTGGAGGCGGTTTTGGCGCTCCTCGGGGGCCTCTTGGGGCCTCGTGGGGTATCTTCTTGTGCCTTTTGGCGCCTCTTGGGGCCTCTTGGCGGCCTCTTGGGGCCTCCTGGGGGTATCGCGGGGCACAACTGTTACATTTTCGGTTCGTGGGCCCCTGCTTGGACCCTTCTTGGGGCCGTCTGGAGGCCCTCTTGGGCTGTCTTGAGCGCTTCTTGGGCCATCTTGGAGCCCTCTTGGGCCGTTTTGAGGCCCTCTTGAAGGCCTCTTCGGCTGTTTTGGGGCGGTCTTGGGAGCTTCTTGCGCCGTCTTGGCGCGGCCACTCATATTGCCAAGGATGTGTTGCTGAAGGTGGTTCTGTCCAACCCCGAGAGCAGGCTCGGGGGGTGGGAGCGGATCGAGAGCTCTTGAGGCGCCTTTCCTATTTTCTCATGCCACCACCGTGGGCGCGAAGATAATCGCGCTTCGCGTGTCCCGGCCTGGGGCCGAAGCGCTCCCCTTCTCCTGAGGGATCTCGCGAGGGTGCGAGGATGACCGCGCGTCCCGCATCGCTGGGCGCGACACGCGGTGGCCCAGGTGCATGGGCAATAGTTGGGGGGGTCAGCTCAGGATTGAGCGCATCGACCCCCGATCGCTTGATCAATCATCGCCGATAAGGGCCTGATAGGCCACCCCGCCCAGGAGCATGCGGATTCGCAATCGGTGGCGTATCGCAGATCGATCGGCGATTTTTACGCGATGCCAGCTCAATGTTCCCCCCCCTGAGGCAGTCCCCGCCGAAAGTTCCCCTTTCATCCAGGGGGGGGAGCGACAGCGTACTATTCGGAAGGCTTGGCCAGGGTTGGCTGCAGGGTTTGCCAGAGGGTTGGTCGGGGTAGTTGTTCGACCGGTCAGAGTGAGGGGCCGAACGGTCATTCATTGTCCCTGGGTGCGTGGTTGAAGTGGGATTACGCGATGCGCATTCTTGTTGTGTGTTTGTTGATTTGTTTGTTTGTTTGTTTGTTGATGCTGTTGTTGTTGGTTGTTTTCGTCGTTGCTGCTGCTGTTGTTGTTGGTGTTGTTGTTTCTGCTGCTGTTGTTGTTGGTGTTGTTGTTGAATATCTAAAGAATAATTATTGCTGATATCCGGGAACGGTTCCGCGCGCTCTCGCCTCGATTTGGCGGAGGCCCAGCCACGACGACAAGGTCTCCTGCCCGATACTTCCTCACGGCCAAGAAGGCCCCCGAACTCAGGAACGGCGCTCTCGCTCGAGACTCCCGTAGTTCAGGCAAGTTTGGATGCCTGCACACGGCGACAAGGGCTCCTGTTCGATATTTCTCCATAGTTATTCCGAGAGTCCCTGGCCAGAGAGGCCCCCGAACTCAGGAACGGCGCTCTCACTAGAGAATTCTTCACGCTTCGCGTATCCCCACCAGCCCATCTCAAAACAGCAACTCTTGCGAAGCATGCCGACAGTCGTGTTTTTCAGGCGTGTTTCCGCCTGCCCCCGCGTATCTCCCCTGTTCCTCCTTCCTCCCGCCTCCTTGTACATCCTCCTTGTGGTGGAAGCGGGAGAAGGACGAGGCGGAGGAGGAGGGAGAGAAAGCGGTGGGAGACAAGAGGGATTTAGCGGAGACGACGACCACAGCGATGATCCTAACAACGACGACGCACCCGAAGACGACGACGATATCGACCGCGACGACGACGACGACCACAACCGCGACGACGACGACGACGACGACGACAACGACGACGACGAAGGCGGCGGCGGCGACGACGACGACGACGACGACGACGACGACGACGACGACGACTGGTGGGAGTCGTTGGGGCCCCTCGTGGTGTGGGTCGTTCGGCCCCATCGTCCTTGTGTGAGTCCTTCGGGCCCCTCTTCCTGGTGTGAGTCGTTCGGGCTCCTCGTGGTGTGAGTCGTTCGGGCCCCTCGTCCTGGTGTGAGCCGTTCGGGCTCCTCCTGGTGTGAGTCGTTCGGGCTCCTCGTGGTGTGAGTCGTTCGGGGCCCTCGTCCTGGTGTGAGTCGTTCGGGCTCTTCGTGGTGTGAGTCGTTCGGGCTCTTCGTCCTGGTGTGAGTCGTTCGGGCTTCTCGTGGTGTGAGTTGTTCGGGCCCCTCGTCCTGGTGTGAGTCGTTCGGGCCCCTCCTCCTGGTGTGAGTCGTTCGGGCTCCTCGTGGTGTGAGTCGTTCGGGGCCTTCGTCCTGGTGTGAGTCGTTCGGGCTCCTCCTGGTGTGAGTCGTTCGGGCGCCTCGTCCTGGTGTGAGTCGTTCGGGCCCCTCCTGGTGTGAGTCGTTCGGACTCTTCGTGGTGTGAGTCGTTCGGGCCCCTCGTCCTGGTGTGAGTCGTTCGGGCTCCTCGTGGTGTGAGGCGTTCGGGCACCTCGTCCTGGTGCGAGTCGTTCGGGCCCCTCGTAGTAGGAGTAGT